AGGTAGCAAATTTGCCGGTTTCTCTTTCGTTTTTTTCCCCAAATAAATATTTCTTCAACTTGCATTTGTTAACTTTGTTATTGCCTTTTCTGTCCGACTAGTTGGGTGATACTAAAACAATTAGACCCTTCGCCCTCTAGGGCCACGGGTCAATAGCCCATTCGGCTTCGCCTCGGGCTATGGGTCTAATTGTTAAATAATACAGTTACACAAAGTTTGGTAGTCTCCAAGTCGCTACAAAAAAATGAATAGCACCTACAGTATAATTCTGTAATAACACTGTAATAGCAGCATCAAATTGTCTTGTCAAAACAGGAGCTTGGAGGCTTAGTGTCTTCAATACTGCAAAAGAATCAAATAACATATGGTGTCAATGAGTTGGCAAAAATTAAGTAAACTATATGATTTACCATTTATTGCAGTTGTAAAACAATATGGTCTTAATGGTCAGAATTAAGTTGTGTTATGAATTCCTGTTCTTGCTGAATGTTATGTCAAAGTAGAAACATCAAACACCAAAACATGTTCACTTTTAAGTGCTAGAATTAGAGTTAATTTCAAGTTATGTTAGTAGTGTACTATCTTGGAACAAAGCCCAAATGAACAGAAAGTGATTGTTAACAATAAAAGTTCTTTTAATTAGTTTGTTGGTAACCAAAGTTGTTTGGAAGCATTCATTTCTCGTTTTGATGACTACATATTCTCAATGCTGGTTAGGAGAATTTGATGGATCATCAGTTCAGTTTCCTTAATTGCCTTTACTGATCAGTATGTTTGTTTCAACTACTATAAAAAAATGGCTGTGCATCAAGGAGAAATTAGGACTTGATCATTTCAAGGCACTTGAACAATTTGGTATCCTGTTTGTTCAGAACTGTTTATTACTGAACAAAACTAATCATACTCAGTTTATACAGCTCTCCTTTTCTTTTATTTACTCATGTCTTGGTAATAAAACTGACAGAATTGGGAGAATTTTAAAGTTCATAATGGAAACTGGAGCTGCTGTGGAGGGTAAAAGAATGTACTTTTGAATTCTCCTAAAGCTATTGGATCAGGCTGTGTGTACAAGAAGCATTCTTGAAAAGAAAGCAACCAAGTTATACCCAAACTATTGTTTAAACGGTCAGAGGCAAATCAAAACAATAAACAATGCAATACTCCCTATTTCATTAGTGCCCTTCCTGTTGTAATTAAGGTTACAAAAGTGCCTTTGTAAGGTTACAAAAGTGCCCCAAGGAATGTTACGAAAGTGCCTTATAATGTTACCAAAGTGCCCTATGTTACAATAGTGCCCTGTTTGAGGTTACCAAAGTGCCCTATGTTACAATAGTGCCCTTTTTGAGGTTACCAAAGTGCCCTAAAATGTTACAAAAGTGCCCTTGCGTTTAGCTCTCTCTCTCTCTCTCTCTCTCTCTCTCTCTCTCTCTCTCTCTCCCTCTCCCTCTCTCTCTCCCTCTCTCCCTCTCCCTCTCCCCCTCTCTCTCTCCTGTCCGTAGCATGAGCCCTTGTGACAGAAGAGGCTGCAGTTATACTAGGTTGTGGTCGGTATGTTCCAAAACACCAGAACACGGCCCTGGAAAACCTGGAAATACACAGGTAAATTGAACAGAAGAAAGACACCGGGGCACACAACGAGAAATTTTGAGAAACACCAAAGCATGAATAAAGCTTTCTGAAGCCGTTTTAAGTATTTTGGGAGATTGCTGGCAAAGATTTATCTGTTCCCCACTCCCGGCAAG